AGGATGGCAAAGTGCCAGTACTTTTCTGCTCTTACTGCATCTGCAGACTGCTGCCCTACAGTCCTTTTCAGGTGATTGAGCCTATTTATTAATGTGTACCACCCAGAGTCCCCTTTGTGGAAGATGGGCAGATATACAAATCTGGTAAATAGCTAGCTAGCTAGCTAAATAATAAAATTTAGATACTCTGCCCTATAGACAGCTAATGTGAAGAATCTTAACACAGATGTATGAGAAAAGGCAAAGAAGTGCACGTACCGGTAGAAGTGAAATTGGACAATGCCTTTACAAGTCCCAAGACTGTTTTGTCCCCAGTGTTAATTAATATTTGTATGAATTTGCTGGGAAATTTTCATCAGTTTGGAGGTTGTGTTGATGTTACTAAGCTTGACTTCTCTATAACATTTGAATCAAGAGTAATTGTGCATATTCTAAAGTGTCTGAATGCAGTGAAATGTTGAGGATCAGGAAATTGAGACTGAATCCTGATAAATACAAAAAAATATTGTAAGCATGTGGTTCTTGAATATGGGCATTTAGTTTGCTTTTCTAAATTAGATTGCATTCTTTCAGAGAATTGGTAGATCAGTTGGAGATGTTCCTAAGGTTTTCACTGAAAGCCACATGACCGTAGTGCCCCAAATTACACAGTGTTAACTTTGGTTGTGTAACAATTGTAACAGTTCCTGCCAGGGATACCATGGCAATATTAATGCACTGACAAACTCATGTTTAGACTACAGTAATGAATCTTATGTGGGGCTACTCATGTGCTTGTTGTGAAAGTACAGCAGGAACAAAATATGGAAATGGAGTGGAGCACTTGGCCATATATACACTGTGCTTCTTTTGAAGCAACTGTACGGGACACTAGTTAGCTACTGAACAATAAGTGAAGTTTAGAGCCCTAAAATTAAGAACAGGTCAGCTGACAGACTGGCCTTCTCTATTATAGATTAGGTTAATCACTAAGTACCAATCTTGCTACATGTCCTGACAGAGTACCAATCTGTAATTATTTCCCCAAATCTTCTCTGTGATAGTGCCTATTCTCTTGTAATTTATGAGACATCTGATTATACATCTTTTGGATTCCTGTTGAAAAGGGGTGTTGTCTTACCTGAACGGCTTTTCTCAGCACAAAGATGGAGAATCCACCAATGGGTTTAGACTGTGTTCCTGCCCAATCAGATCAAGTCAGCCAAAGCTGCAATGCCTGTCCTGGACTAGGTGTCCCAGTCTCGACACGGGCAAAGCCATTGACTGATAGCAAGACGTGTTGGCTCATGAATCTAACCCTAGGTCTAAATAACCTGCGAGGGCGGGAATGGATTTGTCATCCCCGTGCTGAGAAAAGGCGTTCAGGTAAGACAATGCCCCTTCTCCAGCACTGGAGATGGAGAATCCACCAATGGGACATACCAAAGCCTACTGTCCCTGAGGGAGGGGAGCAGGCCGGTCCAGTGTGACACTTGTTGAAGAACTTTCCTGCCAAAGGATGCCTCCGCCGAGGCGAATCTGTCTATCTTATAATGACGTATAAAGGGTGAAGGTGAAGACCACATGGCCGCCCTACAAACATCCTCGATGGGCACCTGAGTGGTCCAAGCCGTAGAAGTAGCTGCGCTACGGGTTGAGTGATCCGTGACACGTTGTGGAACCGGCAATGACTCAGACTGGTATGCCCCCTCAATACACGCCCTGATCCACCTGCCAATCATGGAGAAGGATACTTTCCGACCCTTAGAAGGATGGAAGGAAACGAAGAGGGCTTTGGAGTTGCGGAAGACAGCTGTCCGTGTGATGTAGTAGCGGAGTGCTCTGCGAACATCCAGAAAGTGCCATTGCCATTCCAGGGCATGAGATGGATTAGGGCAGAAGTCTGGAAGTACTATTTCCTGAGCCCTGTGGAATAGAGAATTGACCTTAGGGAGAAAGCTAGGGTCTAGATGAAGGACCACTCGGTCCCTGTGAAAAATGCATAAGTCATCCCTGGTGGAAAGTGCTGCTAATTCTAATATCCATTGCGCGGAAGTAATTGCCACCAGGAAGGCGACCTTGTGAGATCGCCGATCACACGTCCTGAGAGGCTCAAAGGGCAGTTTGGTGAGAGCCTGGATAACCCGTGGCAGCTCCCAAGAGGGGTACCTATGCACTACAGGGGACTTGGTGTTTGTGGTGCCCTTAATGAACGATCGAATCAATGGGTGTTGACCATGGAATACCGCGATGTCACAGGTAAGTAAGGTAGAGAGAGCAGCGACTTGTCTGGGTAACGTGTTTGGAGCTAAGCCCCTCTCCAGACCCTCTAGAAGGTAGTGTAATATTTTTGGAATCATTAAGTCTGGTATGGTCAAGTGATGGTTCGTGCACCACGAGAAGTTCCTCCACGTGGCCTCATAAATATGGTTGGTAGAGGGCCGACGGGAGGCCTGGATCATGGTAATGACGCCTGGTGAGCAGGACTCCTGGGATAACATCCTGCACTCAAGTGCCAGGCGGCTAACTGGAGCCATTGGGGATCCAGATGAATAAGGGTCCCCTGGCTGAGCAAGACCCGATCCAGGGGAATCCTCCATGGAGTCGCTATGGAAAGGTTCATGAGGTTGACAAACCATGGACTCCGCAGCCAGTACGGGGCCACTAGAAGAATCTCTGCCTCCTCCTGAAGGAGCTTGCGGACGACCGCCAGAAGAGGAAGAGGGGGGAAGGCGTAGAGCAGTCCCTCCAGCCACGGACTCCAAAGAGCATCTGTCCGTTCTGGCCCTAGGGATGGGAAACGGGAGAAGAATCTTGGTAGGTGAGTGTTCATCGGGAAGGCAAAGAGGTCTATGGTGATCTGAAGCGGTCGAAGATCTCCCTGAAGATAGTGGAGTGGTCCACTGTTGACCTGCTCAGGAAGTCCGCCTGTGTGTTTGCCTCCCCTGATATGTGATTTGCCTTGATGGAGGCAAGGTTGGTCTCTGCCCAGGAGCCCAGTAGAAGAGCCTCGATCAAGAGTGCTCCCTTGCGATGACACAGCAGCCACTGCCCGCCTCTAGGTGACCAGGTATGAAGACACCAAACCCAGAGCCTGACACCTAGATGTGCCTAACTGCCTGAGGAATCTACCGAGCAGTAAGTAAGCTGTCTACAGCCGCAGGGAGTTGACTGCCAGACCTGTGGGCCTGACTGGATGCGGCCTAGCTGTCTCTCAAGATGGCGGCCATACTGGTTCCCCTAAATGAATGAGGAATAAAACAGGGGAAAGGAGAATTCGGCCCTCCGAGGGCGAGGAATTATCACTAAGGTAAGGAGGTCAGAGGAGGGATTCCCCTCCCACCTCCGTGAGTGCTCCAACAGTCCATCACACAGAAAACATGGCCGCACAGGCCTCAAAATGGTGGCCACTTGAGGTAAAAAAAGGCCTTGTGCAGGCCACAAAATGGCAGCCGCACGAAAAAGTTGCAAATGGAAACTCTTTGAGGAGAGAGGCTAGTTTGATTACCTCCCATGTTCTCCACTTGAGGTCCCCCGGTGATCAGATAATAATATTTGTAACCCCCTGGAGGGCCATAGACAAGAAAATGTTGGGGAAGCCTGCCTGGGTACTTCCTGAATGCGTGCTAGCCTCAAACAGCCATTTTCGGCTTGCATGCGTGTTCGGCTATCAGAGCTGCAGCTGCAGTCTCCGACAGGAGAGGCTTGAATTTGGTCTCAGAGGGCCAGAAGAGTAAAAAACGGCCCTTTCTGAATGCGCGCTAGCTTCAAACAGCTGTTTCAGCTGGCGTGCGCGTTCGGGCTTCGGAGCTGCAGTCGCAGGCTCTGGGAAGAGAAGAAGCTTCAAAGGGCTTAGAGAGGGAATCCCAGGCTGGGAAGGCAAGAAGCGAGGCTTCCTGAATGTGTGCTGGCTTCAAACAGCTCGGTAGCCAGAGCTGCTGCCACAGGCTTCAGGAAACTTCAGGCTTGAGAGGGCGATCCTCATAGGCTGGGGAGATAGGCTGCAGCACTGATCCCAGTATTACCGAGGGAAGAGACAGCTTCCCACAGCCTCAAGCCTTTACTGTGAAAAGGAGGGGAACGGAAGCCTCCGTTCCTCAAGGAAAGTGAAGAAGTTATTGTTTGGGAAATGAAAATCAGGCTAAAAACAGCGCTGATTACAGCGCTGCTCAGAAGACTGAGGAAAAAGGAAAATCCACCAATGGAAAATGTACCTGCCTATGAGCCAAACTTGCATGTCTGTCCTGGGCAAGATCAAGTTGAGACTGGGACACCCTAGTCCAGGACAGGCATTGCAACTTTGGCTGACTTGATCTGATTGGGGAGGAACAGTCTAAACCCACTGGATTCTCCATCTCAAGTGCTGGAGAACCATTGTCTTCATCTTCACTCTTTATCCAGGTCTTCCTTGCACACATTTGTTTTGTTTGTGCTTTCTTTTTTCTGCATCTTTTAACAGTCTATTTTGGTTACTCACTCCCCACTTTTCTACCTCCTATTTTTCCTGTAGCTACAAGTTGTCTTACATGCATGCTGAGCATTGCTGTGCAATATTTAGCATACATTTTCTGAACTACTGTGTTTTGAAAGCTAGTATAATGCCTTATTTGCAAAATTGGAATAAAGTGTTCTAAACAAACGTTCAAAGGAGAGGCTAAATTGCTTGTCAATGAATTCTCACATTATTGAAATTTTGGTTTAATGCATTCATAGCCTATAAAAATGAAAACTAGCAGACTTTTAATCACACTGACATTTACGTATGAATAAATGAATGGCATTATATAAAATATATCAGACTGGATCTAGCTATTAGGTGTGCAAAATATTTCATGAGTTTCGAATTAGAGCATGTTGAGTATGAATTTCATTGGATCAATTGTATTAAAACTCTACAAAGTATTATTTTTACAGCATTTTTTGCTATTTCATATAAGAATTCTATTAATGCCATCTTTCCAGAAAAAATAATGTATTGATTGCTATAGGAAAAACAGAGTGCACAATTGAGCAAACAAAAGGACTGGAAAAGGAAAGAAATTGACTTTATTTTACAAGTACAAGTAACAAAGAATTAAACAGCAACTCCTATACACAAAATAATATTAAACTGCATTAAACAAGATGATCCTGACAGAATACATCTCAACAGTGCACACAAATGAGACCTGTTTAAGTTTACTAGCAGTAGTACTGTTTAGGAAGGCATTTTCCACTAATATATACAGTTAAAACAATTGTGCTTTTGCCGATTTAGGACAACAGTGCTCTTTTTTAAAGGATGAAATAATAAGGACAGGGAGGAAAAAAGGATGTAAAAATTGCACAGCTCCAGTGGCATGGACCATATCGTTCCCATTGGAGAAACAGAGGTGCTCGTTTCCTGTAACTTTATGGATGGCATTTGCAGCCTTGAGACATACCTACAGTTATAATCAAACTTTTTGGGCACTTTGTATTTTAGACTCCTATCCCATAGGCTGACTTCCTTTGCAGAAAACCAAAGAGGAAGTAGATGGAATTGTTCCTGTGAGAGGTTTAAAGGTATACTGAATGCTTTGTAAATCTTTCAAAAGGTTATAGTGTTCCAGTAAACCTTTCCTTCAAAGTGCTACAGTAGTTCATTTGGAAAAAATGGCAGTTCTTCCATTAAAGCAAAGGGGCTGATCAAATCCATTTAGAGCAATCTTACTGCAATGTTTTATGGGGATAGATAGACTCACTCCCTGAGGCACTTTACATCAAGGTAGAGTGATATGCCTCAGGGAGGACAAAAAACCTGATGTATGAATGCGAAAAACCCTACTAGGTTTTCACTTGTTTTAATAGATAACCATTCACTGGACTACAACCTAATCCTTGGTTCCCAGCATAATTACACAACTTTTACATTTAGTGAATTCAATGGTAATTTTAACTGGGAACAAAGTCACAGAGCTGAGTTTAGGAGTTGTTGACAAGATTTTGAGTGTCTGTATTTTATCTGCAAATTGAAAACTATTGTTAAAATACCATCATTTCAGTTTAAACTGCACACTTCACAAATAGCTTTGGCTAGGTTACTGATTAAGACATACTTAGAAAACAATGTATGTGGGGGGGGGGGAGAGAAAAAAACAAGTAAACAAACAATGTATGTATTCATTAGTTATAGCTAGGAATGAAGGAGAAATGGATTTGACCAGTATTATATAAGCTTCCCAGTGAATATTCTTTAAAGTTAAAACATAAAATAGAATAAATATCTGTGTTGTACCTGGTGCTTTTAGAATTTTGCAGGGTAATAATGCAACTGAACACCACAAAAAAAATTATTCAGAAACCCATATAGTACCACATGGAGAAATTATTTGCAAAAATTAGCATTTAATATACAAGAAATATGTGATATGGAAATGCATGAATTTTGGACAATGTTTAATTCATAAAAAATTCAAAAACTGATGCAAACATGTTTAGAAATTAACCAACATTGAAATATTTTCCAATTTCTATATATATGGCTATTTTAAATTAATAAATATCAATTTTTAATAATTACTCACTTTTATCACCTTGTTTTATTTCTTGCACCAGTTTGTGAAATTTCTAAAGTATAAAAATTCCTATACATTCCCTTGCAAAATTTTCTACTATATTTAGCCACTTTTTGTAATATATGCATTTTTGCGAATAATTAATGTTTTCATCTCAACTGTACCAATATAGTGAACTTTTCCAATATAGGCATTTTATAGTGCTTTATATCCCTAGCATATATTTTAACACTTTTTTCTAAGCTGCATCATAAAAACATACGGAAAGTGTATTACACATGAATTTTAACACCCCTATAAGTTTGGAAAATGTAAGTTGACCAAATTTGAAGTAAATTGCGAATCAAACTTATCCTGCTTTCTATTGCTTTTAATGCATCAATTTTAAGTAAGTAATATAGATTCAATTAATTGTCTTTAATTTTGTGAATCTATTTTCTGAATGATATAAAATAGAGATATATCAGATAGACAACAAACTAAAGGAAATGTTGAGAAGATTTTATCTTTTAGTTAACAGAATAAAAGAAGGAGAATATTCTGGGGTGGGGAATAGAATAGAAAAGCCTTAATTAACTGGATCTTGATGAAATAGATTTTACATGGAATGGAGCAACTTTTCACAGTAACTTCATTTGCATAATGGTAATCATTATGCAAATAATACAAATTGACACAAATAATATACTTTTCATCATTTACATAATGGTCTATGAGAAATCTCTAACCTACTGGATATTTCTTAATAACTCCCAACTCCTGTTAGTCCACTTAAATGAGATTTCACTGTACATTTATCATCACTAATCTCAGAAACTATAGAGTTCCTAACATAACCCACAATGTAAAGATTGATTTATGATTTACATTCATAGGAAAAACATTCTTGAATGAACACAAATTCCCTTTCTAATTTCATAGTTTAAGATTTCTTCATAGATTTTTTTATCAAGTGATCTAATTTTGGCACTGAATATTTGTTGGAGATAGTGCTGGGCAATAATTAATGGGGAAAATATCGGTCTATTCATTCAGAATCCTGGCAGTAAAACATGGTAAGGAAAAGAGCAAAAATGAAGAGAAACTTCAATTTATTCTTTACAAGAATCTGAAAAGGTATCATCTATTATTTCAATGCATGGCCAAAATCTTTCTGTATATTTAGAATAAAATGGAATAGAATAACAGAGTTGGAAGGGACCTTGGAGGTCTTCTAGTCCACGGGTGTCAAACTTGCGACGTCACGTGACGTGTCGCAACGTATCGTGACTTCTTCCCCATTGCCGGCAATGGGGTGGGTGCGGTTTTGGCATGACGCATCCAGTCCGTAGGCCGGCAGTTTGACACCTCTGTTCTAGTCCAACCCCCTGCTTAGGCAGTAAACCCTATTTCTGATTACGTTTTCTTCTCCCAGTGCTCTAGCCACATTTTCTCAATTAAAAATTACTAAAATCGCAGGAGATTGTCCCATTTAGCAAAATCAATACCCCATGAACTTGACAGTCTTTTTTATTGTTTTATTACAATAGAAGTCTTTAATTTTAGAGTCCTAAAATTCGATGACTTGCAAAGGACTATATTTTATGGTGCCTGCAGGCATTGCATCTCCAACCCTAGATTTTAAGTGGTGGTTCTTCTCAAAAGCTATGTATTTACAATGTAGGTCTGCGTAAAGGAAAAACTTGCAGTAGGAGTTGCATTTAAAGAAAGAATAGAAATTTCAAGGCAAGTTTTATTTCAATTCATATAAAAAAGAAAATCCAGGACAAAGACATCAGGCAGGCTTTGCTGAAGAGTAGTAGAATTTGACAATCAAGGCAAGACTCTTCTATGAGCTGAATTTATTGTACATAAAATAAGAGGAAGATAAGCAAGCTGACATAAAGAAGAGATAACTTATTTTTAAATAATTTCAAACATATTAGATGAAATAAATATAGGCTCTGAAGGTATTGTATTCTTGAAAAACCTTCTGATGCTTTCAATCAATTTAATTATTTTTTTATTTAGAAGTTTTTATTCGGTTTTGTTCTTTAATAGTCCAAATCTATCCATGTTTACTGTCTTCAATAAGGATTTTAATGTCTTATAATGAAAAAGTTGATTTTTTAAACATGTAATATACCAATATATATATTAATCTTTTTTTTGGAATTTTAACTTTCTTCTTTTTTGATTTGGAAAATTTAAATTTTCCTGAGAGATGAAAAACATAAAAGGGGTTTTAATCTGTATTTTAGCCCTTTCTTTATAATGGACATATTGAAATAGTCTATACAAGGAAAGAATAATATAAACCAGTGATAAGTGAATATTAAGATTCAAGATAAAGTAAGTTGATTATAAAGGCACCACTTAACATCTTGCCTGTAGGTTTTAAAGTGTATAGTCTATTCTGTCCAAAAATTGCGTTTTAAAAAATGCAGGCATCATTCTTAATAAAGTGAGTACTGCAGCCTGCAGATACAGTATACCCTTTTGCATTTGTATGAACTAAAAAGAAAAATCCTACAACAATGAATTCTTGTTGTTGAATGTATTTTAATGTATTTATTTTCTTACTGTATTGCAAACAAGTGAGCTTGTAAATAACTATAAATACAAATTAAACTTCTTTTGTTAAGATCAATCTTATTTACTGAGTGAACAAGAAAGAGTATAATTTGCTAGCTTCAATGCCTCATCGAAACAAAAGTTTGTGCTGGTTGAGTAGACTACAACAAATTTATTTTGTTCTTTTTTTTTTTTTAGAACAAGAAAAAGAAAATAGCTACCAGTTTAAAAAATACTGCAGGAATCAAATACTTTTTCTAGTGAAAAAAACAGCAGCAGCTAAATTCTTAGCATTGGCATGCATACATTTCTCACAAGCTTGCGAATCAAGCTCAGTAATACTAACAACTGCATAACATGTTATTGTGAATTGTTTACCATTTCCCATCCACTTTTACCAAGCTCAAATAACTTCATCCTTGTCTTAATCAAAAAGAAGAATTATAGGTGAGAACAAATGTCTGTGAGTTTCCCAAAGACATTATTATGGAAAACAGGATGCTGGGTTAGACAGAATATTAGTATGATCTACCAAAGTTTTTCTTGGAGTCTTCTGAAGTGACAGTGATGCATTGTCAATTCATTAGTAAGTGGAAGAGATGAATAGCTGATCTTAATAAAGTAGGTTTTAAGCCAGAATTAATTAATTAATTAATATACAAGTATGTAAGCAGAAAGGAAAAGTGTGAGAATAGAACTTAAGACCTGGAAGGAAGCTCAAGATTTTTCCTTTGGTGAGAAAATGACATCCGCAGTCTATTCTTCCTTATATGTTTTATTTCATAAGATCCAATTAAAGTGTATTCTGTGTTTGCTTTTTAGAAGTTTTCTCCTTTTGCTCTTATTTTGAAAGCGGAGATAAATAAGGATACTAAGAAGTAAGTACTCTCTTCACCCTGTAGCAATTTGACACGTCATTAAATGTGCTTCAAATACTAAGGTTTGCAGCTATTCTGTGTACAACCATGCTCCACGATGGTAGCGCTTTTGTTAATCTTCCTCTTTAGAAAACCTTTCGGACAAAGTGCAACAATAGAATTCTTCAAAATAGTACAAGAAAAAGAAGCTTCTAAAAAGCAGAAAGGCAAAATATCTTAGCAGTGAGGTTTTTCATTTACTATTTATCAAGATACTATACGTCAAGAAAAACAGGAATATTGTCCAGCACTATAATGAATATATTGTAAACAAACTAAAAATAGTGGGGAAAACTGCCAATACAGAATCTGAAAATAAGTATTAATGTTTTTTTCATTACTTCTATTATCCTATTTTGATTAATGAAAGTCATGGGCACATTCTAATTAAGAAGGGAGAAGAATCCTTTTTGCTCTGTTTATAAAATATTCAATATTCAATAAAATATTTAAAAACCAAGACAAGTTAAGGAATTTGTCATTCAAACAGAATCTACCTACTAAGTTAACAGGAAACAGAGATGTTTCCTCAGCAGTACAGCAACACAGTGATAACACTAAATGTACATGTTTTTGTCAATACAAGGTAAATAAATACATTATCAATTACAAAAATCAGCATAATCTTTGGTACCAAATGTAAGGGCACCTGCTTGTTAATAGTATTCTTTTCATATGCCATACAACGAAACAATCTTGCTTTAATAACTGCTCAAAATATGGAATGCTTTCAGGATGAGTAACTTAGGACATAGTGCCAAATTATATGGATTTCTTCTCCATTTAGCTCTCCTCTGTTAGAGACCTTGGCAGGAGGTGGTGAGAGTCCAAAAAGTGTCAATATGGTGGCTGAAACCACATAATCAAAATCTTACCCTTTGTCACACACATCCCGTGAATGCTCCTAACCTTAATCATATGATTTGTTATCATGAATGTGCTTTAAAACATGCTTAAGATAGTTGTTTTTAAAATGACAGCTTGAAGACAAAGCCATATGAAGCCCTGAGCCAGAACATGTTCCCCATCTGATTTCAGGGTATAAGCCAGCCTCTGGTTTGAAAATCTATCCTTCTGTTGCTGCTGTCTGAGGCAAATAATAATTGAGAATAGATGCATGAGCCCCAATATGAAACCCGCCATCTGGATCAGGATCTCACAACTGCCTTTTCTTTAAAACACAACAGACCGGGAAGAATGTTTTTCATTTGAACGTGTATTTATCATTCCCTCCAACAGAAGAACATTTTTTTATTATTATCAAATTTCTATGCTGCCCATCTCACTGATACAGTGACCCGGGGAGGCACATAAAGCAACTGGGAGATTATAAGCCCTAGTACTCAAATTATACTGTTTTTTAAATACTGCCCAAAACAGTCTCTCTGAGATGACTTTTCCATTGTTCAATTTGTATAAGAGGGATTTATAGTCAAGTACCATTCTTGTCAGCACTACATCTTCCTTCAGGTGGTTAAGGCTAGCATATTCTGTGGCCTGAAAAACCAGGAGAATGGCTCTGCATACTACAGCATCAACAAGCGTTCATGGAACCAGTTTTGACTTTAAGCAAGGTTAAACTGAACAAGATGATATAATATTCATTTTAACTTTCAGGGATTTTTAAAGAATTAAGACATTCTTCTAAGAACACTACTTGAAGTTCGGTTAGAAAGTCCATATTATTATCTTTTTAAAATCCCTTACAGAGTTCCAATACCCAAACACTATGATAAATGCATGACAATCTGAAAAACAGGAAAGAAAAAGAGAAAGAGGTTATAATACAAAGTTAGGCATTCCTCCGACCAAGGTGTCTTGTTTGATCTTTCAGATATGATCCACTGGTCTCCAAATTCCACCTTGACTTCTGATTCCTGTCACTTCATTTCAATGCCAGGTTATTCCTTTGGACATTGCCTGACTTTGTGCGGAGGCAAATGAGCAGCGATCAAATAATTTGCTTCTTTAACAAGTGATGAATGCATTGTTGGATCTTGTAAACACTACTGATTGTATACATTCAAGATTTCTTTTTAGCAAAAGTGGCACTTACTTGAACCAATCCACTCAATATTTATTTAGCACTTCAACAGGTAAAACATCAGCTGGTAATAGAGACTTGATGTACTTCCTTATGTTCGGATGGCTTGGTACAGTGCACTGGGCTATATCCACTGCTTGGATCCCACTGCTGTTCTATAAAATCTGAATTTCCTGTATTTCTCTTGATACTTGACTCGTGCATTATTGCTGTATACATTTCCCTGTGGTCAATTTAAGTGCTCCTCTATTATGTAACATGTTCAGTGTTTTAAACTCTAATGGCATCCTATGGGGACTGGCGTTTGAAAAGTATCTGTACTTTAAGTCATCATAATAATGATATTTGACTGGTTTTCCGTTTATATCCTTTGGGAAGGGCCAGAATCCGTAAAGGTGAATTTCATCACAGAACCTCGTTGCGAGGGTATACATAAGGAGTCCTGTACTGGGTCGCTTGATGTAAACTTTGTTGGTTAGCCAGTAACTGCAGAAATTGGAAAACAAACAGAAGTACATTTTATTATTAGGAAACTCCAACAAGAACTTTATCTTAAATTATTTTCCTTGAAATATGCTTTTCTAAGCCTTTTGTATCAAAATAAACATATTAGACTGCGCTTTAATACTATTTTGGAGACACGTACATTGTGTTTACCAAAAATCAAATCCAGAGATAAGTCTGGGAAATGGCAACCAAGTCACATATGTGAACTCACTAAGTTTTAATTAAGGTCACATCTCAGATATTGGAGCATTTTCTCCCAACAGCAAGTGTTTGTATATTGAATTAATATTTAACTGCCAAATTTCTAAGTATTCCCCACCCCACCCTAATAAAGCATAAGCATCAAATATAGTTACATATTCAGAGAAGAACAGATATAATATTAAAAATTAAATCCTGCTCCTGGCTTAATTTATATGAACAACATGGTTTAATCTCCTGTTCGTGATTTGTTGTGTCCCACCCACATTATTGCCCATAAAAAAAGTACTTTCACTACCAGCAAAAAAGTTCAAAACCGCAGCTTTGAGAAAGTTATCTTGCTAAAAATTATTGGAATCATTGCTACTCAGAGAAAGCAACACAGCTATAGTATCAAGCTTTATCACTGGTCTAGCTTAATCTAAGAAATGTCTCGTCTCTAAATTCCACTGCCTAAAGTATGATAAATGGTTTTAGGCAAGCTCCATTTCTTTCAACTTCATGTATGTACCTCCATGGCCTTGTAGTACAACAAATTGTTGCTATATTTTGTGTTTTCATTGAGAAACAGAAATATCTTTTTTTATTGGCATTGACAGCTGAAAAGCAGCCTGAAGTAAACTACATGAATAAGGCTGAGATAAGGAGTATTCAAAGGGGAGGATTAAAAAAAAGTAAAAATGGCAGCCATGACAATGCAATCAAAGATGGCAATAGCAATACAATGGCTTTTGTTCTTATATACTGCCCAATAGCGCCCACTCTCTGGATGGTTTACAAGTGTTATTTGCATATTCTTCCCAACAATCTGAATCCTCATTTTACTGATCTCGGAAGGATGGAAGGCAGAGTCAACCTTGATTCCCATCAGGATTGAACTCCAGGCTGTGGGCAGAGTTTGCCTACAATACTGTACTTTAACCATAGCGCCATCAGGGCTCTATGTTTTTAATGTGATACTACTGTGCTGATCCTTTTTTAAATCATATCTTGCAAATGCCCCTGGCTGGGAGTAAAGCGGATTCTTGTTTTGGCCCAGGATGAATGTTATCTTACAACTAGAGTTCAATCACCTCATCCCAGAATTGACTTAAGAGTGTTGAAATGAGACCATCAATGTCTTCCTGGAAGGACCACCATCCCAAAGCAGAGTTTTTTCTACAAATTAACAGTGCTTAACTGCTGCCTAAGTATATTCCTATCTTGCATCAATTCACTTGATGCTATAAGATAAAAATAGCCTTGAGGTTCCCAAACTGAATCAGAACGGGGGCACCGATAATGAGGAATTTAACCCTGACTCTGTTTTTATATACATACCTGCCCTCATCTCTCTTGCAATCTACAATTTTGGAAAAGATATACAACCATCATATATTTTTCCCTATTTAGGTAAACAGCAGCTGGTGAAATAATCTATATCAGTAATATTATCAGAAAAGAGAAAGCTCTATTCCTGTTTTTGCTTTTTTCCCTCACCCAGTTGCTGTAGTTGTGATTGTTTTAAAGAAATCTAAAGTATAGAGATATTCAGTTAAGTCTGGCGGTTAGGGCAGGGGTCCCCATCCCCCAGTCCATGGCATGCCAGCAACCAGTCCACAGAAACAAGCAAAGCCCCATCAGCAGGATGCAGGCAACACATAAAACCATGCCTCCTCCAGTCTGCGGGAAAACCTCTCTCCACGTAACCGGTGCCTGGTGCCCAAAAGATTGGGGACCTCTGGATTAGGACATTAGACTAGAAGCAGAGAAATCTGGGTTCTAATCTTGCTTTAGACATCCAAACCAACTTGGATACTGCAAGCTAGTCGGTCTCTCTCTTTCTCTGCCTCCTCCCTCCCCCAGAAGGCAATAGTAAGTCCACTTTCAAAAATGTTGCAAGAAAAACTACAGAAACTTAATCTTTGTAATCATTTGGAGTCAGACTGACTGAAAGCTATGGAAAACATGAAAACAGACCCTCAACTCCTTTTTATATTTGAATCTGTCAGCTGTTACTTTTATAGTCTGCATGTAGATGGAGAAATCCATAACTCAGAAAAAACCTTTTGCTGATGCAAGAAGGCTTAAATGTACAGAAATAAGTTTTGTAGGAAACCAGACCATTTCAAGTTGAATTAGTTATTTTTCTAATGCACACTCCTTTCCCGATTTTCAGTTAATACTTCCTCTCAATATAGCAACAATTAAAAATGTTTTCTTATCATTAGAAGTCATTAATCATATGTCCAATATATTTTTTTTTATAAGAAAATATTATTAGTTGTGAGTTGGATTCTTTAAAGAGCAACTGTTGAAGCAATAGTGACAGACGGGGATGGGTGGGAATGAGAAGACTATGTAAAGCATTTGCTAATTTTAAACTTATTTTGTCCTTGCTAAGTGAGATAAAATATCCTGTCTAGCAGCAAACCGTTTGATATTATAGGATGTTTTTTTTCTGGTGCAGTTAGAATAAATCTGAAATAACTTCATTTTGCAGTTATTTGACACTTAGCAAAAACTTGTCTTAAAATGCATATCAACACATACACATATAAATTCAAGCCTGCTAATGTGTCACAAGACAGAGCTGGAAATGTGTTGTTGCTGTTAAAAGCACAATATGAAATGTATAAAACTAAACATAAATAAGAATTTTGTATCACATTTAATTCTTTTTCAAAAGACAATTAGTTGTAAGTGCTTTTGAAAGCAGCAGTTAATTCAACTAGTGAATCACTCATCAATTCAACCTAAACTAGATTAATACATGACAATGATAATAGCCAATGGCCAGTAGAATTCTGCTGCATGCATTAATAAATCTCAGCTACACATTGGAATACTTTTAACTTTGACAGTTTGCAGGTTCCATGGTTGTATAGCTTAGGCAGAAGTCCTTTTGACTGCCACTTGTGTTTGTATGATGCTATAATCTTTTTGGGGCTTGAAAAAAAAACTGTTCTTGTTCGAACAAGAATTACATTGTAAATGACAACTTGCCAATATTGGCCCCACACTGAGCTCAAAATGTACACAACCCCAAGCAGTAATGGAAGGTCACATTTCACACCAAAATGGGAAAAGGTCAGCCATATGTGGATTTGGATTTATAACTGGCCCTCAAATTCCCATGGGAAAGTAGCTTTGGAAAAGGTCACTGTGGAAGCTGGATTCTTTGCTGTAGCAATTGCAGTATGAAAATCTCAGCTTGCCAGGACACAACAGAAGTCATTTTGATGGCTCAAAACCTCCTGACATTTATTTCACCAGGATAGAAAATCAACAACCCTCTTTTGTGTTGTACCAACTATGGAACTAGACAGACTTTTTTTCACACTGATCCAAGACACTTAAAAATCCAAAATCAAAATGCATCTTATATCAACAGGAAAAATAGCCCAAGCATTTACTGATTGTAAGTTTGGTTCAGCTTCTATCTCTATGAAGGCTAACCATAACAAGGGTTTATCTGTGTGTCCTAACAGGGCTTGAAGATGCCTCCCTAACCATGGCTGCAGTGGCCTATTTTTGCTTTTACCTGATATGACATTAAAGTGGTGCTCTCCATTTTCACTCAACAAAAGCCTTGCCCTAGGCACAATTTTAGATATTTCAAAACCCACTGTAGTAATGACAAAGTAGAAGGTGGGGTCTACCTGAATGTCTAACTGGCCTCTTCCAAGTGCTGCATACACAGCCATACATTTCAGCCTGACAATTCCCTGAAGAAGGCGGGGGAATTTAACCTTCAAAGAGAAAAGACAAAAGGAACATTCTGAGTCTAATCTTTTCTCATTTGTTAAGTGACTCTATGTTTGCTATTTAGAGCCTATACATATGAAACTAGAGTAATGCAGACTTTGTTTTACTGCAGCTTTTGATTGCCACTTCTGCTCATGATAGAGTGGCAGAGAGGGTGAACAAAAATGGCAGGAGTGGGGAGTCCATCTGCTGGAGCCCACAGACAGCGTCCCCATCAGCTGTTTTCAGACAGAGTGAGAGAGTGAGTGAGAAAAAAGGGCAAGAGAGCATGCAAGACAAATCAAGCATGAGAGACTAAGACTAAGAGGAGCATAAGAAACAGAATGAGAGGAAATGCAAAAGAGCACAAGAAGAAGAGAGGTAATTTGCAGATCCTTTCTGAGGTGGATAGAAGCTTTCTTAGTATAACATGACAGCTTCTTCTATAGAACTGGAAAACCTTTTTCCACCATGTGAATTGGCTGCAGAGCTTGGATGGCAGGGTGAATTGGGGCTTTCATGTAAAGGAAGAAGATAGAAAGATCCTAACTATTCCTGAAGGTCAGGTCAGGATAGAGAGTTAATCCATGGATTACATCCTTTGTCAAAATTCACCTCTTCCCAGTCCCATTCCATGTTAGGGGAAAGCAACCAATGGTTATTTTTCCTATGTGTAGGAAATTCACCAATAACATTTTATTACATTATTGCATATCAAACATATAAAAATACTATACTACTTACTGGTTTCATCACTGAGACAGATTATAGCACAGCTGTCGGGACAGAGCAAATTTTGCCATGATACTTTATACTGACATATGGATTAGAAGAAAGCATATTAGTGGCTGTCTGGAAGAGCCTCAAGTTTCTATTTTCTCGTAACCGGTTTAGCAAGGCTGGTGCCAATACTTAATAAGTGAACCAATCCTCAATCATCAATACCTTGTACTTCTTACTAAATGTGTACCTAAGAGTGTGTGGCAAAAGAGTTTTGTTTATACATTTGAAACCACATGAATATCATTCAACCTGTATAAATAGTCACTCTA